TCCCCGTTCCCTCACCGAACGCCTGCAGTTTTCCCGAGTGGAAGTCGCTGAGGAGGCTGAGCAGCCCCCCCTCCATCTCGCACACGTCGGACACGTCCGTGAGGAAGCTGTGCTGGAGCGGGGCCCCCCGGGACCCCCCCGCGCCCGCCCGCGCCCGCTCCTTGCTGGTCCTGCACAGGGAACAGGGATTTGCATCGCTCCGGGAGCACCACGGGCGGGCTGCAGGGGGTCCCCCCCATCCCGCACCGACCTGCGGAGCCGGGCGCGCTGCCGGGGCGAGGGCAGGGTGGGCAGCGGCAGCGCGAAGGTCGTGCTCTTGCTGGGGGGCAGCGGGCGAGGGGCCCCGGGGGGCGCCGGCTGGGCCAGGCAGGTCCTGGGGCTGCGCTTCCTCCTCCGCTCCTCCATCCCGGGGGCTGCGGGGACCCTGCGGGGACGGACACGGAGCTTGGAGGTTCCTTCCCTGATGGTTCAGGGAAAGGAGACGAGTCTGCCCGGGGCACAGCAGAGGGGCCGCGGGACCCCCGGCGTGGGGAGGGGGTGACAGCCACGGCCACCGGGACCCTCGGCACGGCCACCAGGACCCCCAGGACGAGGGGTGACAGCCATGGCCACCGGGGCTCGCTGGCGGCGGGAGGGCTGGAGCAGGAGCTCGGACCCCCTTTCCCGGGCGGCAGCAGCCGAGCTCAGGCTCAGGCTCGAGCTCAGGCTCAGGCTCGGGCTCAGACTCAGCTCGCAGCGGGAGCTCCGGCCTGGCCTCGGCTCTCGCCGTGTCCTCAGCCCCGGGAGAACAGGATTTCTCGCCTCGGTTGCCCCCGGCGAGAGTGGGACCGGGACCGTGCGGGCACCGAAACCTCCGGGCTCCGGCCGAGCCTCCCCCCCGAGCCCCCGGCCCCCCCGGACGGGGCCGCTCCGGGGCCGTGGAGCCCCTTTGTCCGCAGCCTCCGGAGCTCCACGGCCGGGCACTGACCTGTGCCAGGCCCCGCTCCGGCCCGGAGGGGCTGACCCGGCGTGTCCCGGAGCCCACTGGACACCCCGAACCTGCCAGACACGTGTCCCCGAGCCTGCCGGACACCCCAAACCTGCCGGACACCCCAAACCTGCCGGACACCCCGAGCCCGCCGGACACCGTCCGCACAGCCCGGGATTTGCATTTAAAGGGAAAGGGAACTTCCTCCAGGCGCTGCCGGACCCCCAGAACCGGCCCCAGCCCCAGCCCTGGGATCAGCATCCCGCGGGGTCGGGGATGGGGCAGGATCGGGATCCAGCCCCCGCTCCGCTCCCGGGCTTCGTGCCCCCCCTCCATCCCCCCCCATTTACCCCGCGTTGTCCCCCGGTGTCACCGCAGAGCCGCGATTGCGGGATCCGTCCCTGCAGGAAGGAGCTGGGAAGGAGCCGGGAAGGGCCTCCAGCCCTGGCGCAGGGACGGGATTAGACAAGTCCCGTCCCCCCCCTCGCCCGCCCCGCGCGCGCAGACGGAGCGCGGCTGCTCGTGTAAATCCCGCCAGGATTTTAATCCGACCTTGGACATTTTGGAGCCAATGGGGGCACCAGGGGCTGGGCACCCCCAGGGCAGGTGGCACTTGGTGGCTGCAGCATCTCCGGGAGGGAGAGCCACAGGTGAATGTCCCACGCTGGGGGTCCTGGACACCCACCCGACCTTCCCCCCGGGCAGGGACATCCCCTCCCAACCTCCCCCACCTGGTCCCCATTGGAAAGGCAGGGACAGAGCACTGGGAGACAGGGAAGCCGTGTCCCACAGAGGCTGGTGTGGCCTCCCCAAACCCACCCCACCACCCCAAATCTTCACCACCCCCCCCGCGGTACTGAAGGAGAGACAAGAGGCAGCAGCAGCAGCGAGGTTGGGAGCGTTTCTATTGGATACAGGATACACACAACAGCCCCCACGGGGGTTTTCTGTACCGTAATGGGGAAAAGAAAAAAAAAAGGGGGGTTTGGTGAATTTCTAAGGGGTTTTCCTTTTATTGAAGGAGCAGGAAGAGAAGCCCAGATCCCGATCCCGGCAGCAGCCCCTCCTCAGCCTGGCTGCTGGGAACAGGGTGGTCCCACCAGGCCAGACCTACATTCACTTGCTCGGGGGCTCCTGCCAGACCCTTCCAGAGGCAAATGCTGGAAGGCAAAGCCACGCTCAGCTCCAGGGAATGTGTCCCAGTGGATGTTCAACTGCAGCTCTGTGCAGATTTGTTGGAGCCCATCCCTGCTGCAGACAGACCCTTCCCTGGACCTGGGCTCGTTGGGGTCCCTGCAGAGGAAAGGGAGACAAAGAGGCAGGTCCTTCATGGAGAGAAGATGTGAGAGCAGCTGCGTTGCCAGAAGAGAATCCAAAGCTGTTCCACTGAACACATCCACGGTGGGAAATGTCTCCAGCCAGCTGGCTCCAGCTTCCAGCAGAAGGAAGGCAATGCTGGGAATAAAGTCTGTCACAGGGAAGCTGCAGCGAAGGAGGGTTGAAGCACGTCAGGTCTTCCAAAAGAACACTGGAAAGAGAAAGTCTTGAGAAACTAAGGAGAAATCCCAAACCCCAGTGCCAGCAGGTCCCACGTCTGTCCCTGAACACCCTCCCAGCAAAGCCGGGTCCTTGGGGCGAGCGGGGCGAGGCAGCACTAGGGAGATGCTCTTCCAAGAAGGCAGAGAGGGAAAGGAAAAGGGAGGTCTGGGATAGCACAGGCACCCCCAGGCTGGAGGGCCCACGGTCCTGGAGCTGGTCCCGGCGATCCTGGAGCAGACACAGGGTTTATCCTCCCGGAGCCCCAGCTCCGTGGGTGCCCCCAGGGATGGGGCAGAGGAGCTTGGGGGGGCCCCGTCCCCCTGCACAACGATGACACACTTGTGCAAAACACTTGGGAATTAGACCTTTGGATTAACTGTTTAATACACTTGTGCACATGTGCGTTCAGCAAAGAGGCAACTGTGAATCGTAAGGCGATTGAGACATTGGCAGGTCCTGGGAAGAGCGAAAGTCCCGCGGGACAGGACCGGGAATGCCCTTCCTGCTTCTCCTTGTGCCCGTTCCACGCACAGAACAGAGCAGGGGAACGGCCTCTTGCACCCCCAGCTCACACAGGAGCAAGTCCAGGAGCTCCCTCCTGCCCGGAGGAGAGGGAGGCGGGAGAATCCAGCGCTGTGGTTCTCCCAGCTCTGTTCCTTGGCTTTCAGTCGGTGCCAGAGTCGCTGTGACAGCAGAGGCGGTGCCGGCGCATTCCATGGCACACAGATCCACGGACCTGCCCTCCTGAGCTGCGCCAGATTTTGGGGATCGCAGCCCCTGCCAATGACAAGGTCTTTTAGTGAGAGGGACGATCAGTTGAGGCTCCATATATTAGTTATTGACACACGCAGGGAGGCGGGTCAGTCTGGTTTTCCATGGGTATCCATATATAAAGTGTACGTTGCCCTGCACATTTTTTATATATCATATATATATATATATATATATATATATAAAATTTAAAAAAAAAACAACCCTAAAAGCTAGGAAATCTCACATCCCCCGGGAGGGCTGTCCTGTCCTTTTCCACCTGTCCCAGGAGCGGGAGAGGGGCATCAGATGGAGTCTGCACATCCAGGTCCCCCCTCCCTGTGCCCACCCCTGTGCCCTGCAGAGGCTCAGTCGGTGCCCCGAGGTCCCTCCTCAGTCCCGCTCTGCCCTGTGGCTCCTGGGCTCAGTTCTCCCAGGCTCTCTGCAGGATCCGGGCTGTGCGTGGCCTTTCCCGAGCTGGGACAGTCGGAGCTGTCCCGGGATGGGTCCTTCAGAGGCTCTGCCAGGTCTGTGTGGGCACACAGGTCCTGCACCTTCTTGTTGAGGTCGTTGCGCTCCGTCTGCAGGGCCCGGCACAGCTTCTCCAGCCGCTGGATCTTCACCTGCAGCCCCTCCAACTCCTTGTCCCGGAGGGTTTTCTGCAGGGAGAGGCAAAAAGGGAGGGATGAAACCCCAGAGGGATATGGGCAGACAGTGACAGCATGGGGGGATGGTTTTAAACTGCCAGAGGGCAGGGTTAGGTGGGATAGGGGGGAGAAATCCTTCCCTGTGAGAGTGGGGAGGCCCTGGCACAGGTTGCCCAGAGAAGCTGTGGCTGCCCCTGGATCCCTGGAAGTGCCCAAGGCCAGGTTGGAGCAACCTGGGCTAGTGGAAGGTGTCCCTGCTCATGGAACTGGATGATCTGTAACGTTCCTCCCAACCCAAACCATTCCATGATTGATTCTAGGGAAGCTTGAAGGGAAAATACTTGTGACCAAGGAAACACTCAGCACTCAAAGCACCTGAAGCTGCATCAAGGCTTTCTTTCTGCCCTTGTCCCCTCAGACCTCACCATCCTGCATTAAGGCAGGAGTTGTCCTGTCCCCCCTCAGCTCCAGCCCACCCCCAGGGCCTCCTCACCTCCTCTGCCATCTCCAGGAGAGCCTTGTTGCTGCTCTCCCAGCGGGAGCGGTACATGGTGGTCTCCTTCTCCAGCTTCTTGATCTTCTTGGTCATCTACAGGATCACAAAAAGGGCACAAATAGAATCACAGAATATCCTGAGTTGGAAGGGACCCATCAAAGTCCAACTCCTGGCCCTGCACAGGACACCCCAAGACAAATAAGCCCCAGGCAGAGCACTGCAGTGACATCCCACACATCCTCAGGTGCCACCCCCTCCCCTGGCACAGACTCAGAATTAAACAGAACGATGGAGCTGTGGCTCTTGCAGCTCACATGGAGGAGAGCCAGGACAGCAGAAGTGTCACCCACCTTCTCCATCTCCTGTTTAAACGTTGTGAACACTTCACTGCTTTTGGAAAGGGTGTTCTGGAATTCCTCGAACTTCTCTGTGTAGAGAGCCAGCTGTGGGGAGAGACAGGGAGCTCACCAGGGCACCCACTGACAGCCTCACCCGGGCAGGGATGAGGCCAACCAGGGACTGAGCTGCTTGTCCTGGGACACAAACAAAGTGGCAGCACAGAGCTGCTCTGCCAAGGGAAAATTCTGTCCTAGGGAAACACCCTTGGAGTGTTGTGTCCTGTAAACATCTCCTGGCCAGGGCAGGAGGCACTTGCTGGGGCTGATTCAGTGAGGGATGATCCCATGACTGCTCTCAGCACTGGAAAAAACCAAGGCACTTTTCTGCCAGAAGGCAGAATTGCTGAAGGAAGTCTCAGCTCACCAATACCAAAGCCCAGGAGGGATTCTACCCCTGTGTCTTCCAGATTAAGGAACTTTTGGATTGTTCCTTGCTTAGGAAAGAAGAAAAGAAACCCAAACAAAACAGGCTGAGCACACAGAGCAGGTGACTCACCTGCTGCTTGAGGTGGGTCTCCTGCTGCTTCATCAGCTCACACATCCTCTGTGATTCCACAGCTTCCTTCAGCAGCTGGGGAAGAGCAAAAGCAGTTACCTGGGAGTGCTCTGAGCACATCCCTGCACGGCTGGTGCTGGGCCTGGAGATGGGAGCAGGCTGGGAGAAGCACAAGGAGCAGAGCAGGGCTCCAGCCCGGCTCCTGAAGCTGCTCAGGAAGCAAGGCAAGATGTGGGATAACCTGCTCTGGGCTCTGCACTCAGGGATCCAGCAGTAACCAGGGTCACAACCACCCCAGAAATGCTCCACGACTTACAAAGTCCTTCTCCCGCTGGTGCCTCTCCTCTGCCTCCTTCAGCATTTCCTGGGCCTGCTGGAGTTTGGCATCCACCAGCTGCTGCTGCAGCTCCTTGTGCTTGAACACCTTGTCAATGTGCTGCCAAGGGAACACCACAGGCTCAGAAGACCCCAGACAAACAGATATTCTTACTGCAGGTTATTTATAATGTATGTTAAAGGTATGAATGAACCTTAATGTTCTACACAAAGTAAAAATGTCTAGTTTGCATTAAATGAATTGAGGGAACTCTCAACAGCACAAATAACCAACCTAAAAAAAATATCATGTACCTTTTACTGGTATAAAATGCACATAGCTGGATGTTTGTATGTGCATTTAGATACACTGGATATAGATACATTTAGATATTTTGGATATACTGGATATTTTCCTCTGCTAAAGCAGTGAGTGTGTGGTGCACTTCCCCCTCCTGTTGAATCTTTATCATTTGAGTGTTGCTTTTGAAAACCTGTGTTCCACTTTGCTACACTTACACAAGCAACACCCATTTCCCTTCCACTCTGCAAAACACGGCCTTGAAGTTCTGTGGCAGTAAAAAACGTGGCTTGATGAGAGGGCTGTGGTTACCAGGAATGTGATGATGGAGAATCTGTTGGGTTTATCTCCCCTCTGGAAGCAGGAACCCCCTTCCCTGGGCAGGGGGATACCCCTGTCCTGACCCACCTCCTCCCGCAGCTCGTACTGCTCGATGAGCTTCTTGAGCCTCTCTGCCAGCTCCATGTTCTCCTGGCGCAGCTTGGAATTCCTCTCGTTGTGCTGC